CCTGCTGCTATTAATTCAGAGTTTGTATTTATTTCCTGAGAAATGTTTATTTTTCTTTTTCTTTTCACAGGACCTAGATGATATAGAAGATGAAAATGAACAATTGAAGCAAGAAAATAAAACCCTCTTAAAAGTTGTTGGACAGCTGACAAGGTAGAAGATGCAAGCCTCAGTGAGGAAAGATTTAAAAACTACTGATTGAACGTTAAGGTCAATATAGTAATACTTCCTGTGTTGCAGTATGATAACTGTCTTTATATTTATTGTTAGGAAACCAGATGAATGTTTATTTTCATAGTACTTTCTTCTTCATTCAATGGAACAGCATCAAATTTGGGGTCTATTTTTAGCCTTCTTTTCACATAAAGATAATTCAAATTTTTGACATATTTCAAAATATTAAGTTCAAAAATATTTGGATTTTGTATCTCCAGATGACATCTGGATAAATTACAGTAATTTAAAATTTATAGCACCAGATCACTTTCAGTCCATGTAGGTGTATATTTTTGAAGTGAATAGAAGCAATACGTATAAGCTTTGTTTACACAGATCCGAAATATGTATTTTTGGAAATACTTCCTTTTTTGTTTAAGCAGCTGTAAAGTGGATGCCTTATTACTGCTGTATAACATTTTGCAGATGAATTACTTGCTCTAAAACTCTTATATGTTGGGGTTTTTTTACCATATCTGAAAGACTGACAATAGAGAGTAGCAATTTTTTTTTTCTGTATAACAGTATTCTGGCAGGAGGGAGAGGTTTTATTTTAAAAATCAAACAAACCAAAAAACCAATAAATCACCTGTGGTGTCAGCATTAATGAGTTCTTAGGATCATACTGAAGTTGTGCACTGCAGTTTATTATAAAGTTTTTGCGTTAGCAGTGAAATGCAAGTTTGCTATCAGACAGTAAGTTTGTTTGCAGTGTTGAGAATTCAGACAAAGCCTGGAGCTTTCATTTTAGCAAAGACACTTTTGCAATACTGTTCTATTTAAAGCTGTCATAAAATTTGTAGTGATCATAACCAATATGAATTTTTTGATGTTTTCATTTTTTAAGATGGGTGAAAATTTTTGTACATAACAAAGTAGAGAGGCATACAAGTGATTCATGTCCTTTTGAAACATCAAATGGTTTAAAAAAACCTATTATCCTTGATTTTAAACTAACAAGGTGTTTAAAAAGTGCCTACATAGATGTTACAATCCAGTTATGACTGTGTACTGATTCTTCTATAACATGATAGTAGACAAAATTTTCATGTGACATTAACCACAGACCTCAGTGAACAATTCTCTTCTTAAATTTCTGTTAGGGTGAAATTTGATGAGCTGTGTTTCATCTTAGTACAGCACATTTTTCATTCCTGATCAGAATAAATGTACGTGTCATTTGAGTCAGGACACCAGAAATGAAAACATTTTGAAGAGTCCAGGCTTTTTCTTGAAGTTTGGTGACAGAAAGTTGCATGCATATAGTCTTTGTTACCTTAAAACTTAAAGGCAACTTTAATATATATAATGACCATCTTTTCTGATCTGCCAATTTATCTTCATAATGTGTATTTAATGACTGTAAGAGTTTCTTAAATTTCAAATCCAGGTGATATTGTTACACCTTGGATTGTTTCGGATATAGGATAGGTGGTTTTACATTTGTGTATTCTAATGAGGAGGAACTTTTCAAAGCTTTAAAGCATTTTTCAAGACTTGTACATTCCAGGGTGCCTTGATGTTTTCCGTCACAGTGGATGAGATGCCATGAGACACCATTTAAAACCTTTACTCAGGGGTTTAAATGGTATGGGGGGGGTTGTACAGGCCCTCTGACCTATGGTGTACACCAGTGAATATTGCTTTTCATATTACCCAAACAGTAAGAAGTCACTTAATTTATCAGTTTCATGAAATTAAAAATTTAAAGTAATAAAAAAGTCAGTTGAGATGTATGCCTTCTGAATAAACATGAAACTTTCTCTGGAAGAACACCTGATTTCCTTCTCTCTGTAGTAGGTAGGAAATATGCACACCAATTTATGTCACAGGATGTCAAATGTATTGAAGCGTCATTAAGGAGTTAATGCAGAACACACAGATATTAATATGAAGTTGTAAATGAGATTTTTCATAAACTGTATTTCACATACGTTTTAAACCAAAGAACAATAACAACAAAGAACATAAACAAGAATTGCTTGTCTTTGTTTTACTTCTTCTTGGTTTACATGTGTATTGACTAAAACTTGGCAGCAGTAACGCCAAAATTAGAACTGATTTTTTTTTTTTTTTAACTTGGACATCCAGCTGACAGGATTATTTGGCAGAAGTACTGGCAAGGGAAGTTTCCAAATATTTGAAACCAGTAATGCTTCAGGCAGAACATGTGAACAAAGGAACTGTTTGGAACTCACAGATAAAGTACCTTGGGACATCATTGTTGTTGTGGATTATTATGCAATTGTTAAGCTTTTCATGGTTTTAAAAATTCCCACAAATTGTATCTTTAAGCATAACACTTCTGCTGACAGTTTGGAAGATTTAGATGGCTTTTTGGAAAAACGTATGTCAAATAACGATCTGTTACCACATTATCAGGATCTTGGAACAAGTTTAGTAGATTCTAGGTTTTATTGTGTTACGTAAAATGTTAATAATTGTATAGTCATTACTTGCCATTAACTTTTTATTTTGGTAGGGTACCCTTACAGTCAAGCATAGAATAAGTTTTTATCCTAGGTGATCTGAAGGTGTTAAATTAGCTGCCTTACCAGCAATTCATCAACCCACGTCCACGTCCTTGCCAGTCCAACACGTGATTGTTCTCAGTTGTGTGGTTTAAAAGCGGAGAGGCTGCTAGAAGTGGGAACTCACCTCACTTGGGAAGGCTATGTGATTCCTGAATGAATCTGGGTATTAACATACCTAGGCTAAATTAATTCTACTAGGGCTTTTTTTGGGGGGTGGTGTGGGAGTGTGCTAGTGTGCAGTATTAACTGTATGGGTAAGTCTCTTGGAGATTTCTGAACTTTCATGTCTTAAAATTCATACCAAACCGCTTAGGTCTAGTATCTGCATTTCTGGGTAACTTCGGTTATCTAGGAATTCTAAATAGAAAAGTACTCCCTTTGACTAAAGCAAAGACGACAACTTTTTTTTAAAGTTAATAATGAACACCACATAATTCCTATTTTGATAATGCACAATGATACTCCTGTTATGGTCACATACTCTTGTATATAAAACATAGGCTACATCCAGAGCTGAGGGTTAAAATTGTGCAGAAATATTTTGTCATCGATAATATGCACTAACATTTGTGGGATTTATTCCCTAAAGACAAAGTTCAACCATATATAAATGTTGGTGATTTTTACAAGGAAATTCAAAATGACTCAATTTTCTTTTTTTTTAAAGAATTAAATGGCCATGTTTTCAGTGTTACTTGACCTATATATTAACTGAAAGAGTACCTTATGTATTTGCAAATGAGGTTTTTTTCTGTCTTTAAAGCAAATGTTGCTTGTTTAGTTACCAGATTTGTATGTGCACATTGCCTGTTAGGTTGGCTGTGAATTTGAGAGGAGGAGTGAGAAAAGAGAGTGACAACAAATAAATTTATGACTTCCAAAGAAGGAAGTATAGAACTAACTGTAGAAAGATTGTGTTTGGCATAAGCATTACAAAAGAGACAGGGGTTTTTGTATATTGGAAACAACTGATTAGCCTACATCAAAGCTCTTTTCAACTTGTCTGGTGTCATTACAGCTTGGAAACTTGCTACCATAAAAGAGGCCAAAAGGACTACTGGAGATGAAATTACTTTTTAACATATTGCTAGGAGAGCAGAGTTACACTGACTCCAGCTATTTTATGGTTTTCTGTAAGTTCTTTGTAGCTATTTCCAGCTTGAATTGAAACAAATCAGTATTAGTAGCTAAGAGGAGAGGTAGTTATTGGGAAACAAATACATGAGTGATAACTATGGATACCATTAACATATGACTGAATGTCAGTATTTCTTGGGCTGAGACCCTTTATGAAGATATCAGTTGAGTCGATCCATTTGCATCAGTATTAATGATCATAAACATTTGACATTTTTAAGAAGAAACAACTATTTTAGTTCGAGAAATTACCATTATACTTAAAAGTTTTGTTAAAAATGGAACAGATGAATTCTGGATCTTGTCATTTACTTTGATATAGAAGTTCACTACAGATCTGTTCCATGCCTGTCATTCTGGTGTCAATACCTGCAAAAGGCAGAAAGCATTTCTAGAAACATTTCTACTTCTCTTATTAAACATTTGTTTAGGACCACTTAGATACATCCAGGATGAAAAGGACTTTGATATGTGTTTTAGTAGCATTCATGATCTTCCAAGTATGTTGACTTACTTACTGTAGCACATCTCCACGTACCATTTCTTTGTGCTGTAGCAGATGTACATTGCCGTGTTAATTCAATCCTTTTGCTTTTATTTCTGGATTTCTGGTGTAACTGTTCTTGTTCAGGGCTTGTTGTGATTTTTCTGTTCTGGAAAAATTGTGATAGTTGAGTTTTCCTCTGAAAATAGTCTCATAATCATAATGCGGATTCATTTTTTTAAAATATCCGTTTTACGCATTTAAAAAATTGCAGCATCATTAAGCTGTAAATAACTAAATATCCATTTTAGTTTTGAACATTGACTAGTTGTGGTATTATTTGTGATATCAGATTAAAAATGATGTTGAGAGTCTTACTATTGCAGGTAAAAGATACGTGTTTAATCTAACAATAAAGACTGTGTGCCTTTGTCCAAATAAAACCAGAATTTTTAATCCAGGCTGACTACTTATTGTGTTTAAAAGAGAATTTATATTGTCTGATTAAAATTCTAACTGGATTTTTCACCCATGCCGGGAGCCACGAAAATTACTTTTACATTCAGATTCAGTTCTTCAAGTGTGCATGTGTGTGCACACACACGAGAGAGAAAAAAACCTGCGTATTTCCACTACACTGATTTCCTGCTTTGGGAATGTACTGAGTATGCTTCCATCAATTGCATGGAAAAGACCTTTTCCCGTGCTTCAAAGCTGAAGTCTAGCTCTTCCCAGGAAAAGGTAATGAAGGATGTTACAGTGCTACTTCTGCACAAAGAAAGTTAATTGACTCCACAATAGGTGTAATTTCTGAAATTTCTCTATGAATGCATGTTCTCCTGCACAGGCAGAAGCATTAAAGACAACCTCCTTTTCATTCATTGCTGCAGACTACACATAAAGCGAAGAAGTGGATCATCAGTAAACA